TTCACAATCCTCCTGCCTCAGCCTCCCAGGCCACAGGGATTACAGGTGTGTGCCACCGCACTGAACTCAATGTTTATTTTCTAACATATACAGCATTCTTTTTTCTTCTTCCTCTTTTGTGTGTGTGTGTGTGTGTGTGTGTGTGTGTGTGTTGTGGTGCTGGAAATCAAACCCAGGGCCTTGTGCATGAGAGGCAAGCACTCTACCAACTGAGCTATATCCCCAGCCCTACAACATTCTTTTAATAATGAAAAATTTCAATGACTTCCCACTACAGAATGGCTTAATAAATTATGGCATGTCTACTGTACAGAATATGGTAACACAGGTAAAAAGAATGAGGTGAATCTATATGTACACATTTATGAAAAGAAGTGAAAGACTCACCAAGATCTACTGTTAAATTTTTTTGAAGCAAGCTGCAATATTAATGTCTAATCTTATCTACTTCCAGAGTGATGCCTTCCACATCCATAAATTCTGCAATGAAGTCTGAACTTGAAGGAATGGTTTTGAAATTGAAGGGATAGCTAAGGACAACTTTGGTTTTTATTTGTATTCCTTGATTTTTTTCCCCAACAATAATATAGTCAAGAAATAAGGTGGATATTTGTACACGAATGTTCATAGCAGTATTAGTCACAATAGATAAAAAATGAAAACAACCCAGATGTCCATTGACAGAAGAACAGATAAACACAATGTGCTAAATCCAATGGAAAATTATTCAGCCACACAATGGAAGGAAGTACTGACACATGCTACAACATAGATGAATCTTGAAAACATTAAACTAAATGAAATAAGCCAGATACCAAAGGATGAATCCAGTATGATCACATTTATAGAGGTACCCAGGAAAGTAAAATTCAGAGAGACAGAAAGCAGAACAGTGGTTATGAGGGACCGGGGGTTGGTTAGTGTTTAAGGAGTGCAGAAGTTTCAGTTTGAGATAATGACAAAGTTCTAGAGGTAGATGGTGATTGATGATGGCTATACAGCAACGTGACTTAATGCCACTGAAGTACACACTTCAAGTGGTTAAAAGTGTATATTTTGTTACATGTATTTATTTTACCACAATCCAAAAAAATGTTAAGTAAAAAATAGTAAACCATTGTCAAATGACAACAATAATAAATAAGGTGCACTGAGCTGATGCAGGAGGATTCCTCCCCACAGAAATACATATGTGCTGGGCAATAGGTACCCCCAAAGTGTCAATATATAACCAACCTTAAAATAATGTACAATACACAAGACCAAGTATCAGAGGGAACTGCACTGGGGGAGGGAAAACAGAAGCTGAGGTGGCTGAGACACACCCAGGATCCGTGCATCCAATGTATGGAGGCTCTGGGGCTAATGGCTGAGAACAAAATTTAACCTCAGCTGGGGGATGATGAGGAGCTAAAGTGGAGCCCCCTTTAAAGTAGGGATCCTTGAAGGACTGCTCCATCCATAAAGGAACACACACACACACACACACACACAAATCCCTTTGGGGCAGCAGCAAAGAAACCATTCACAGAGAGTGAGAAAGAAAAAAGTCACTCATGAGTAATTAACACCCTAAGCCTGTGCCACATATGGGTGTAAGGTCTAAATATATACCACCCATGGAGAGTGGAAACCCTAGGCTGTAAATTTAGCATATAAAATATTCAAAATGAGTGAAATACTCAAGTCCAGCAGAAAGAAACAAAAGACCAGTCTCGAGGAGGATATTTGCACCAAGACACACAGACTCCCACAGAAAAGAAGAGGGAGTGACCAAGATGAGTTCACAATAAAAAAAAAAAAAAATAATGGAGAATCAAGACCCACAGTGCATGCTTATGTATGTTCACCGCCCGCCCCCCTCCCGAATCAGCACCCTCAAGAACTGGATATTAGGTCTAGGGGTGTAGCTCAGTGGTAGAGGACCTGCCCAGCATGCACAAGGCCCTGGGTTCAAACCCTAGCACCGAAAGAAAAAGAGAAGGAGGAGGAGGAGAAGGAGCAGGAGGAGAACTGGAATCATTAGAAGAGTCAGAAAGTGCGTGTGTGATATATGAATTAAATGATCAAGGAGAGAAAAGATGGAACACAAAACACAATTCAGGTTTCAGAAGAAGAAGAAAGATCAGCTCCATTTGGAATTTGCAGAGCATCGGGGATCCTGAGGTCTTCCAGGTCGGGTGCTACCGAGTGCTAGAGGCCAGGAGAGTGTTCTAGGCTGGAGGCAGATGTGGAGTCATCATTGGGGAAAATGGAGGCACCCATGAAGGAAATGTGACTGGCCAATGCACCCACCTCGAGAGGTGGCCCCTGGGGTGACCTCCATTTTTAAGGGCAGGAACCTCGGAAGAGGCAGGAGCATCAGCTCTGTTTATATGGCCAGTTTAGATCACAGCGAGTGTTCTCCCAAAATCCTCTCCCCAAAGTACCCCCAGAGCCTCCCTCTCCAGGCCCTTTACTCAGCTTGCCTAGTTGCAGTCACTCATCACTCTGCTACAGTGACAGTGCCACCCTGCTGGTCCTTACGTCCCTGATATCTAGCACAGGGTTGGGCCCCTGTGGTGGTCCATAAATGGTCACTGAAACGAAAGGAAGCAATGTGCATTCTTTCGTGTTCTGGGAATTCCCATCATGAATCCACAGGGGGAAACGGGCCTCCGAAGGAGCTGGAAATCGGCTAGTTGGCTCTTCCTCATCCCCTCTTCCTCCCCGCCCTCCTCATTCTGTACTGGGAGGATGAAGCATCAGCTTCTGGACACAAGCAAGCATCATCCTAGTTCAAACATGAATCAGCACCATGAAGTGTTCTCGAGGGCTGAACTCATACGAGATGGCTCACTCTTCTTCCCCTCCTCCCTACTGATGATTACTTGTTCCTGGGTGCACTTTGCAAGTAATATCTCATTTAATTTTCACCACTTTTTCGGTACCCCGTATTGCAGATGAATTAACCAGGGCTCAGAGAGGTGATGTGACTTTCCTTGTCCACAAAAACCACATAATAGCAGGGCCGAGGTGCAAACTCAGACCTCTCACACCCCACAAAGCTACAGTCACTGCCTCTCCCGTGGACCTCCCCTTCTGCTTCCTTCTCCCTGGCCCTTCCCAGCCCTCCCAGCTCACTCCGCCCTTCCATCACCCTCTCCCGAGCTCACACTGTGTCTGAGTCACACATTTCTCAGCAGACAAGGGAGGCTTGGAGTGAGGAGGCGATGGCCAGATGACTGGTGAGTATACATCTGGGTCTGTCTTTTTGTGACGACCAAGAATGGTCATGGAGCAGAACCTGGAATCCATGGTACCCTTAATGCCCCTTCTCAAGTTCTTGGACCCATTGGAATGATGGCTCATTCCAATGAGAATGGCAAATATGTGGCTATGAAGACCAGAAGGGAAACTCTGAACTGAGGATCAGGAGCCTGGGAGGACCACAGGCAAGACATAACTTCTCCCAAGTTCTTCATTATAAACTGAGAAAAAAAAATCATCCCAGGCTCACCCATTGCTCAGGATGGGTACTTTGGCATAGGGCGGGCCCCGAACAAATGAGGCAGTGATGGAGGATGAGAAAAGGGGCAAGATGGCCATTCTCTTGGGCTAGGCCAGAACCATCTCACCAGATACCTCCTGATCGGATGCTTTGCTCACTTGGTAACTCTGGTCCAGACCATGACTGTGCACTGACAGGGCCAATAAAGGAAGGAGAGGAAATAAATGCCATGGTTTGAATATGGTCTGTCCCCCAAGGTTCGTGTGCTGGAAGCTTGGCCTCCAATGTAACAGCATTGAGAGGGGTCAGGACCTTTAAGAGGTAAGGCCAACTGGGCAGTGATTGGGTCATGGCTACCCTCGTGAAGGGATTCATGTGAACGCACAGAGTGGATCAGTTATCAAAAGAGCAAGTTGTTTTAAAATGAGGAGCCAAATACATTTCTCTTCTTTATACGTTACTTAGCATCGGGTATTCTGTTTTAGCAACACCAAAGGGATTAAGACGTCAAGAAAGAAGAAAGTAAGATGAGGAGTATGTAGTGGAAGTGATCCTCCTGGCCTGAGGGTCACAGACACAAAGGTTAGCACCCTGCAGCCTGAGTGGGATCCTCGCCCTGGCTCTGCTTCTCACTTCAAGGCAGTATTAATCAAATCCTCAGCCCTCAGCTGAGGATCTCTGGGCCTTGGTTTCCCCATATGTAAGCTCAGCTACATCCTCTACCTGCCTTCCAAAGTCGGGTCCCCTCACCTCATTGTCAGGAACCCTTCCTTGATCTGCTCTCCTGCCTCCTAAAGTCCTGCCTCTCCTTCTGGGCCCAAAACCCTCAGCTTAAGCCCAACCCTTATGTCTTGATGTGCACCATGTCCCACATCAGGAGGCAGAGGATTCCGGTGAATCACTGTGGTCCCTCCCACCAAGCACTTATCCAGGTAGATGTTCATTAGACATTCCATTAGTAATGGAAAATGGACAAATGGATAGACAGGTGGATGCCTAAAAGCTTATCAAGCTCCTGGCCAAACGTTCCCATCCTCTTGCATGAATTCCCATCCATAAACTTCTTTAGCAACTCAGCCATAGGAAGACCCAATCCTTCATTGCCATCCCTCTCCTCTGAGACCTGGGTTCCTATCCTCGCTCAGAGGCTCCTCCAATGGCAACCGCCTTATCCAGCAGATTTCAACCCTGAAGGCCTCACTGTACCAGGAGCATGAAGCCAGCACCAGCCTTAACCACCCCATGCTCCTGAGTGGTCACTCTACAGACAAAGGAAGCTTGGTTGCAATATCCTGGGGTTGTTTTTCTACCAAAAAAGGAAAAAAGAAATAAAACCCACAGATGTCCCCAAGAGAGTTTCTACAGGTGACAGAATTCAGGAATGCTGTAAGGAAAGGTGCCCAGAAAGACAACTCTTCACAGAAGACCTGAGTCCCAACCCCAGTTAGCAGCCCTGACCCGCTCTGGAACACATGCGTGTGCTTTCCCTGACTGTGAGAAAGAGTCTCACCTTGATGCTCATCCAGTTTCCCCATGGTCTCGATCTGCTCCACCAGGTCATTTGAATTCCACTGGCTCATTCCAATGAGGATGGCATTTTTCCCCTCGGCCATCTCCTCTGTGGAAAGAAGCAGAGATGGACATAAGCAGGCATGGCCATCTATAGGTGGCCCTAACTGGATCAGGGTTGAGGGGGACAGGGACTTATGTCTAAGGGGGTTATTATCTCATCCATGAATTGAGGTAGTCTTCAACTATTGAATGTGTCTGTCGTTATAGACAGGAATGGGACATTCAGGAAGGTGTCATTGCAAAAAGGTATGTTGCTGTACCCTACTGGACCTCCACATGGGACAGCGTAAGAAAGTAAACAAGGAACCAGTTGTGAGAAAAGCTGAAAACTCAGAGAAACCTCAACTCCTGGCACTGAAAGTAGTATTTCTTAAAAGGCAGAAAGCTTGTCACTTGCCAGCAGTTTTTCTTTAGGAATGTCATTCGACTTCTCTGAGCCTCAGTTTTCCTATCAGTAAGATGGGACCAGCCATGTCCAGCTCACTGAGTTTTTTCAAGGGTTACATGAGATAATGGGTGTAAAGATCTCAGTGCATAGAATGTGCTCTGAGATGAGAACCAGGTGGTATTTTGTCAACTCACCAGCAGGATTTGAGTGGGTCAGGGTTTGAGATGGACAGGAGAAGCTCTGGAGTGAGAGGAGAGCAGAAAGCTCCTGGTTCTAAGCAAGCCTTGAGCTGCATGGAACCCTTAGCCCCCATCTGAACTTCGTGAACCTTCTAATGCCTTCATTCTCCCCCACTTCACCCCTCAGCCCTGTTTCTATCCTTATCTTTTCTCCGTCTGAGCTTAGTGATTACTCTGGCAAGAAGCAATGGGGCTGAATCCCCCAATCACTGAACAGAAGCCCCTCCCACATGCACCAATGGTACAGTCTCTGTCCTGTAGAGACATTTCCTCAAGAACAGACCCACAGGGAAGGGTGCTCTCCAAAGACATAGGCCTTCCCCGTGGCAAGATGTGTGTCCACCTTCAAAGAACAGACATCAAAGGGTATTGAGGAAAAACCCCAAACTCATGATAGTTAAGAATAAAGGGGGGCTGGGGCTGGGGCTCAGGGGTTGAGCACTCGCCTGGCATGTGCGAGGCACTGGGTTTGATCCTCAGCACCACATATAAATAAATAAAAATAAATAAAATAAAGGCATGTGTCCAACAACAGCTAAAAAATAATATTAAAAAAAGAATAAAGGGGTGTTAGGAGGGGAGGTTCGAGCCTGTAATCCCACTGACTCAGGTGACTGAAGCAGGAGGATCACAAGTTCAAGGCCAGCCTCAGCAACTTAGTGAGGCCCTATGCAACCGAGTGAAACCCTGTCTGAAAATAAAAAATAAAAAGACTGAGGATATAACTCAGTGGCTAAGCACCCCTGGGTTCAATCCCTGGTACAATAAATAAGGGCTGGAGATATAGCTCAGTGGTAGAGTACCCTGGGTTCAATCATCAGTACCATGAAAAGATGAAGAAGAAGGAAGAGGAAGAGGGGGAGAGGGAGGAGGGGAAGGAGAGGGAGAAGGGGAAGGAGAGGAAGGGAAGAAATGGGGAAGAGGAGTGAGAAGGAGGATAGAGGGGTGAAGCCCGTTGCACCAGCAAAGAACCGTATCCAGCAGACGGAACCAATATGGTAGAGCTGAAGCACTGGGTCCAGCATTCTGGGTCACTCTAGAGTTCCGTAATCCAGATCTCATTTCTGGCTGGTACACCTCCTCCTGCCTTATTTTATTGACTGATTGATTGACCAACCTTTATGAAATCCTAACTACATAGTGAAATTGATGTGTTTCCAAATATTAACTCAATTCTGTCAGCAACACTAAAAACGAACAATTATTACTATGTCTGTTTTGAGAAAACTGAAGCACAGAGGAGTTGAGTAATTCCTGCCCAAGGTCACTGCCGAAGGATGCAAGCCCAGATACACTGTTTCAAGAGTCCTGAAATCCTGTCCTCCCGATAGCCTGTCCTAGACTCCTGTATTGGCTGCTCAACACCAACCAAGCACTACACGTACACTCAGGAGTGTCCTGAGTCTGGTGTGCTCCATCTGGAGACTGGTTTACACCCATGAGCAGCATATGCACTTGGGGAGAGCTCTGACCAGGCTCCAGGGAAGACTCTGCTACCCATGAGCTTTGTGATTTTGCTCACCTCCTTCCAACACTTCTGTTTACCTTTTCCCTTAAATGTCTCTCTCTCTCTCTCTCTCTCTCTCTCTCTCTCTCTCTCTCTCTCAAGCTAAACACAATAAATTTTGAAAAAATGCACAAGCCAAAATGGTGTGCATAATGTGCATAAATATAAGGTAGTATTATTCCTGGGGAAGCAGAATAGTAACAAAGTTAACAACTCAGTTCTGGTGTGAGATTGACTATTATGTGACCTCAGACGAGTCATTTCAGTATTCTAAGCCTTAGTTTCCTCCTCTACAAAAATGACATCAGAGTCGTGCCTACGTCATAGGTCAAAAGCAATGAGCGCACTGGAAGAGCACAGAGGTGAGATGACAAAATGGTACCACCGTCACATCGCCACGGCTGCTGCCAGCATGTGGTGTTGGGCCACAACACTCACTCTTAATTCCAGTCACACCCTTGTCTCTTCCTATGACATCATGTCCCAGCTCCAGAGCAGGGTAGTCAGCCTGTGACCCACCTTAAATTCTGTCTCCTGCCTCAGTTATCCAAAAGCAACTCTCCATTTGCTCATTCTGACATCCAGTCTACAGCGAATGGATACTCAAGCACCTACTGTGTGTCCTGGGAGTCGTGACCTCCAACCTGTAGGAAGCCAGTCGTGCGAAGGACATAATGATAACTCAGACGTGATGAGATGCGAGGACGCGGCTCCGGGTCTGTCTCCTCACACACTACCCCATGTTGTCTACAATGCCCTAAGTCCTCTCCCAGGGGTGAATGCAAAGCCATCAGAGCGTCCCCCTCTCTGGGCAACCTCTTTCTTCTCCCCTCATCTCAGTATCTGTCCCTTTCTGTATTCTGTCTCTCCAGCTGTTCCAAGCCCCATCCTTCCAATATACTTTCTTTCCTGTCTCCCTCTCCTGATCTGGACCTCTCACCTGTACTCACTCTGCATTCAGCTTTCAGATCTTTATTTTGAAAAACAATGGGGCTGGGCTGGGGTTGTGGCTCAGTGGTGGAGCGTTCACCTCGCACCTGCGAGGCCCCGGGTTCAATCCTCAGCACCACATAAAAATAAATAAAATAATGGTTTTGTGTCCAACTACAACTAAAAAATAAAATATAAAGGAAACAATGGAAAAAAAGAGTACATGTATAATGGCATAGTTTGGTGTGAACATACTTTATATACAGAGTTACAAAAAATTGTATGGGTAATAATGAGTGTAATGCATTCCACTCTTGTCATGTATTTTAAAAAAAGAAAAAGAAAAAAAAAGAAAAACCCCTTTGATAGTATAAAGATTAAAAAAAAAGAAAGAAAGAAAAAAAACAATGGGCTTGTACCCTGAGTGGTAGCAATAATACACACACACATGCACACACACACACACACACAAAACACACACACAAGCCTGTGCACACAGAAGCAGCAGACAGAATGGCTCCTTTCAGAGTTGTTCAGGCAGAGGGTTCTGCATGGCTCAGCTCTGAGCCTTGTTCTACTTTCCCTCTCTTAGTGCTGCTTCCCCACAGGACCCACTAAGGCCACAGAGGGGACATCTGGATGACTTGTCCTGCTTATTGACTTTGCCTTTTGTCTTCTGATGACTGTTCCCTGCATTCTAATTATCTCATGGTGACCATTGGTATGGACATCGTTTTGGTATCTGTCCCCCTGGCCCTGAACTCTAGCCCCTGCTCAGACTAAGCTGCAGGCTGAGCATCACCCACCATCACCATAACTCTGGCTCCAACCTCAGCCTGACTCTGACCCTGGCCAAAGCCTGCATGTGCCCTTTCAGCACCACCTCCGGTGCTGCAAGGAAAGCCTTTCTTCTTGCCTGGGGGGGGGGGGGGGGCTTGGTTTCTGCAGGGTTTATAGGACTTAGGGAGACTCCTTATCCTAGGCCAGGTAGCCTTCACCTCTAGCTCATGGAGCCAAGGGCTTGGTCACCTCCTCCAGATGACCTGTCCAGTACCATCTATCAACAGGCCCACAATACCAGTCTGTCCAAGGACCTAGAAGTGTCTGCCCAGAGGCCTCTGGGTCACACGATTGCTCACCTTTCTGGGTGTGGTGGCACATGCCTGTAATCCCAGTGACTTGGGAGGTTGAGACAGGAAGATCAAAAGTTCAAGACCAGCCTCAGCAACTTAGTGAGGCCTTAAGCAACTTAGTAAGACCCTGTCTCAAAACAAAAAAGGCTGGAGGGGGCTGGGATTGTGGCTCAGGAGTAGAGCACTTGCCTAGCACGGGCAGGACCCGGGTTCGATCCTCAGCACCACATAAAAATAAAGGCATTGTGTTGTGTCCACCTACACCTAAAAAAATAAATATTAAAAAAAAAAAGGCTGGGGATGTGACACAGTGGCAAAGTGCTGCTGGGTTAAATCTCCAGTAACAAAAAATAAGATTGGCCATCTTCACTGTGCTCCCTAACACCCTCCCCCTAACCTACAGCCATGGCTACCACTCTCTCTTCATCACACGGTGGCAGCTGCCACTCAGGTTATCCCCAGAAGCCTTTGGGACAGGCTCTTTTCTCCATCTCCCCTCCCACAGTGGGGGGAAAGGCAGGGGAGGGCAGGGGGTCTATGACATACTTTGATTGGCTTCTGTGATGGCTCCTTGGCTCAGGAATAGTCATCCAGCTTCCCACAGTGACTTCCTTCCTCTCCACCCAAGAGACAAAGCTTCCTACACCTACTGTTTTCCAGAGGAGGAGTCAGACTCAGAGACTCAAGTCTTGACTGAGGTCAGACGGAGGCTGTCAGGGGCACTGCTAGGATGGGGTCCTCTGACTGTGCTTCTTTCACGCCAAGGGGCTGTGTGATCATAACACAATTTGAGAGAAGACCAGACTCTGCCCTCATTCTCTAAGAGAACCAACTTGGTGAGAGTCTTTG